CTTTTGTTGTTAAATAAAAGAATTCATTGAGGGGAGAATATGATTTTTGTTATTTCACTGGTCCCTGGATTATATCATAACTTCTGGCTGTCATATTGCAAATATACTTTTACAGAAATTCTTAAATGAAACAAGATTCTGATTTTTCTTAATCTTCTTGGCAGAATGTAGAGTTACCTGTTTAATTCTCAAATTTAATTTTGAAAAATTTCATAAACATTTTGCATTGCTACTCAAATAATATTTGCAAAAATTATCTTCTTGATAAATATATTTTTGAAAACTATAGTCTTAATTTTTCCCTTCCATAAATGCAAATTCAAAATTTTGCTTCTATTGAAAATAAGTAACTAATAAATTAGTATAATTTTTTATTTTATTATTCTATGTAATATTTGAGATACATAAGATTCAGGTTCAAAAACATTTTGGATCTATACCATCTTTAGATTATACATCAGTTTTTTAATAGGACATTTACATATTTGGGGATGAAATTATTTAGCATCATATTTTAATTGAGTAAATTAATAACTTATTTTTGGAGCATTTGTAGTGCGATATTTTGAATTGGTGTTTAATTTTTAGTGGAACCACTGAGCAAATTAGACTAAAAATTGCTTTATAAGAAGGCATAAGAAATTTTATCAACTCAGGTATCTTTATATTTACATTGAAGCTTTCTATAAAATTAACAGTATAAATATATGTGTTACTCTCATATGGTGTGGTAATAGTAATACTGAATTGTAAAGAGGCTGCTTGTGCACTTAACTGTATATTCTTTACATTAGAAAGTTGAAAATAACAGCTAACTCTTATGTGCAAAGTTAACATCAAGGTAACTTTCGTATACCTTGATGTTAACTTTGCACATAAGAGAAAAATTGCTGCTTTGCGGCCATGTGGCCAAGAATATTGTTATTCTATCGCACATTTTAGCCATTGTTTTATAACTTCTAGCTCTGAAATTACTTTTTGATTCTAACTGTTGTTTTTTATAAGTAACAGGTATTTATATTTTTCTCATTCATGTATTATTTGAAACTATCTCCCAGTTCTGAAAAGCAAACTGGTTAGTGAAAAGTAAATCCATATAGAATTCGTACTAAGATTTAACTTCATTAAAGTCACCCCCCTTCCATCAGACCATTATTTTAAAATTTCAACCAAAACAATGCATCTAAAATATGGATTTTGAACTCAGTTATGAGGCATATGGAGAGGAAAAACATTTGTGACTTTTATTTATTAGTATCTGTTATTATTGCATTGGCATTTATTTTGTGTGCAGTTTATAGTATCTGTTATTATTGCATTGGCATTTATTTTGTGTGCAGTTTATCTCTGTTGATCTGAAAATAGCCACAGCACAATAGTACTAAACTATTGCTGAGGGGTGTCAGTATTTGTACAATATGTACTGGTGGGAAAAATTAAAAGAACAACTATAAAAACTTGCGTAACTTGAATGATTTTGCAACTGAAGAACATGGAACTTCGGCAAAATAATTATTTTGTCATAACTGACATATCTTCCAAATTCAGAATTGTCTGTTTCTGCAAAAAAATGAATTTAAGTAAGAACATAGAAAACTTGATATAAAGTAGGGTAGAGAAAAGTCGGTGTTATAACTATTTAAAGGTACATAAAAAAATGTTTGTTGTCATCCCCCAACTGAAATGTAAACTTTATGGCAATTTTCCATGCTTTGTGTTATTAGATTATCCAAGAGATTTTGCTGTAATAAAGTGTATTCACGATGTATTTGTTCTTGGAAAGTGCTTAATGAGGACTGCAGTGGTGCAAGTCTTAGTGCATTCTATGCATATTCTATCAGATTTAAATCCAGAAAGTATGCAAGCCTGTCTGTCTGCTGGATTCCATTACCTTTAGGATAATAGATCAATGCAGCGCAATGGAGATAAACATTATGAAAAAGTTATTATTGACTACACCCGTAAACAACTTGATTTATGAATCAAGAACCTCATATCTGTATATTTCAGCATTTTCACTTTCACTAATAAAAATGCATAGATCAGTGCAGCTATTCAGAATCATGATATTATGATTTCACCATCTTTATACGATGCTTTCACTGATGATTTCAGGCTTATTGCATCTGTATTGCTCATTCCAGATTGTACTATATCTGGAACTTATCTCCAAAACTTATTGGTAGCAAGACTTATTGGTAAAGAGAACTTGTCTCCAGTCCTCCAATTTTGAATATCTCTGGACTGCTGCGTCTTGGCACATTTTGCAGCCTGAGTTAGTGGGATACAAATTATGGGTTCCTTTCATACAGCTTCCTCTTTATGCAGCCTGTCGCAGTATATCACGATAAGTATCTGTAGCTGCAGTAAGCTTCCTTACATTCTAGGTTGATGTCAGTTGTGTATTTCCCTTTGCAATCGTTGCCAAATAGCAGTCCTGAGAGTCTGTTGTGGCACATTTTTCCTTGATCAGACTACCTGCATACATCATCAATGTCTTTAAACCATTTTCAGATTCTTAGTATGACGCTTTTAAGTACTTTTACATTTTTACAGACCTGTATCTGTCTTATTTCCATTCTCCCAGTCATGAAATTTCTCACAATCCATAAAGTGCCTCTTCAACAACATGTCCCACTTTCTACGTTGGAAAATTTTGTCCAGCTTTTTATATGTACACTGTGCAAAAAAAAGTGATAGTTCTATATCTCCTGTTCTACTGGGCTGATTAACAAAATTCAAATTGCGTTTCTCATGTCTCAAAAGCGCGACTTAGAATATACACTCACTTCCAAAAGTTAAGCACGGAGAGGAAAATCCTAAGTCGCCCACGGGTTACAACCCCCACGGAAGATCGATATATTGCTATTGTAGCCAAGTGGAATCGCAGAGCGACCTCCACACGTGTGACATAGCATCCGTTGGTAAAGCGATATCTGCAGCTACTGTGTGCTGAAGATTACATATGAAAGGACTGTACGCCCGGGTACCTCAAATTTGTGTTCCTCTATCCATCCAATCAAGAGGGGCACGATTACAGTGGTGCCGGGAACACGTCAATTGGAATGTGTCTGACTGGGCAATGTCATGATTACTGATGAGTCAAGATTTGCTATGGAGCCAGATAACAAGTGTATAAGGATATGGTGTGAACAACGAACACGCAATCAATCCTAAAACATCATCGAACATCAGGCATTCCAAGGCGGAAGCATTATGGTGTGGGCAGGGATTTCATTAGGATACCGCACTGACTTGCACATATTTAAATGGGGTTCTTTGACGGTTGTCTGGGATAAAGATGAAGTGCTAGAACCCATTGTGAGATTGTACGCTGCAGCAGTTGGCCCTACGTTTGTTTTAATGGATGATAATGCACGTCCCCATAGAGCTGACATCGTCGATGACTACCTGGAGAGAAGGGATTCCACGTATGGCCTGGCCAGCATATTCGCCCGACCTTAATCCCATTGAAAATCTTTGGATGCTCTCGGCCGTGCTGTATCTTCCCATTTCCCACATCCAGCCACTCTTATTGAGCTGGAAACTGCTCTACAAGAAGAATGGCGATTGCTTAATTCTGCGGTCATTGACCACCTAATTCAGGGGCATAGCTAGAGGGAGGCAAGGGGGGGCATTTGTCCTCGGGCACAGAATCCAAGGGGCACCAAACTGATGTTACGACATTTTAGAATGAAATGTTTTCCTTCCTTGGCAAGCAGTAGGGGGTGCGAAATCTTCAGTTGTCCCTGGGCGCTGAAAACCTTAGCTACGACTCTGACCTAATTGAAAGCATGGTCACAAGGTGTAAACTTTGTATACAGATGAGGGGGGATCACATACCCTATTAATGTCCTTTTTGTTCATTTTATGCTGTTTATTTTCACTTTATATATAATTCTGTTTGTCTCCAGCATGTCATTAACTGATAACTTACAAAAATTTAATATTGTTTTCATTTCTGTATATAATTATTGATTTTATTTTATACATAAATATATATGCTACTTTCCTGCCAAATATTGTGTCAATCAAAGCAATATTTGTTGATTTTTTTTCATTTTACATCTTTGTGCTTAACTTTTGGAAGTGAGTGTATATTAGATTTATATATAGCATAATTCTAACATAGGTATTTTGACACAAAATCTGACTTTTTCTGAAATAACATACCAATTTTTTTTTCCATATTTTGATTCTATGATTAAAATTATGCCTAGATATTAAATTCTGTAAAATTTACAGAAAAATTTACATTGGCACAATAATTCACTTGGCACACCTTTTAATATAATATATGGCAACTAATTTTCCTTTCCCTTCCATTATGCAGGAGCGGAAAAAAGGGCACCTCGTTCCTACCTTTTTGCATTGTGCATGAGTGGAACAAAAAGTCACATTGTTCTTAATTTCAAATAATTTTAGCAAAGTTCCTAAACCACATTTGATGTTTTATTGCTTTCAACAAATATGCCAAATTTCAAAGCGTACCAATATATAAATTCACGTATATCTTCGGAAATTTTGAATAAAAAAACTGTAATTTTTTGCATGTATGCTTAGAAATACGTCTACTTTAGGATGATGGTAAAAATTTTATAGGTTATAATTCAAAATGATTTTTGAAGAATTTTTAAAAATTATTTAAAAATACAAATTTAAAAAAAATCATAAATTTAGGCGAATTTTATTGAAATGTGAAATGAAGAATCAAATAATAAAAAAGAGAGATTAATAAATATATATCAAACTTGATTAACACTGAGGAGCTAAAATTTTGGGAGCAAATTTTTAAAAAACTACTTGTGAAATTTTTACAAAAGTTGATAGTTTGGCGTAATTTGAGTCGTAGAAATGAAATATGGAAAAAAATTGGTATATTATTTCGGAAAAAGTCTGATTTTGTGTGAAAATACCTATATTAAGACAATGCTATATATAAATTTAATACATATCCTAAGTCACTGTTTTGAGACATGAAAAACACAGGTTGAATTTTGTCAATCGGCCCAGTAGAACAGAAGATATAGAACTGTCCCCCCCTTTTTTTTTCGCAGTGTACTTAAAGTTATAATTTGAAGCCCAGTGTGTACACCATTCTCCATGTGTGCCAAAATAAGAGCTAACAAATTTGTATATTTCGTGTAGCAAGGGGGAATCCTATTTGACTATATGATGATGCTGACATTGAGCTACTGACTACCTGCCTTTTGTTGGATTTTGCTTGATTAGCTTAAAGCACCTTTTTTATAGTTGTTCCTTTAATTTTTGCTCCAGTATAGCTTGGAAGCATTAAAAAAAAAAGTAAATGCCATGATTATGCTTATCTGCTGTTCTTGTTACCACTATGCACATACACACACTTTCATCTCTCAAACTAAAGTAAATTTGAATATTGATTAACTCCAAAATGAGCTGTATAAAGTATTCTTTGAAATATAAATTGATGGCATGGAATATAAACTGGTGGTATGCATTTTGATCTCCATTGGACATTTTTTGTATTCTATGTATAAGTGTCTAAATGTTGTAATGATATCATCTAATGTATTTTTTAGATGTTGTCTTGTACTCCAAAGTAAGTTGCAAAATTTTATGAAAACTGCCTCTGTGCTTGATGAGGAGGATGTTGTAATCAGATATATGTATATGTAACATTTTATATTATCCCTCTCCGGTAAAAATTGCACTTAGTAAAATATTCTTCATCGTAATTACTTAACAGCAAAATATGCCACTTTTTTTTTTTTTTTTTTTTTTTTTTTTTTTACTTAAAGCATGCTAAATATTTTATTCTTGGAGATTTCTATTCTGTGATGGCCACCTGATTATTTTTAATGGAATTGTTTTCATAGACAGTTTTTCTTAAGGTGTATATTTATTTCATACACAATTTTCTCAAGATATTTTACCTAAATTTAAGGAACTTTATAAAAGGAAGTACAGATCTAGATGTATCTAAATTGCAGTGCATTAAAAAAATTGTAGATAAAAGTTTTTAGAGCAGTTCTGTTTAAAGTTTAAAAATTATTACCAAGTCCCCTTTAAAATAAGATTCATTGGAACTCGCACATACGCCTACTCAAACACTCCTGACATTCCTAAATGTAATAAGTAAGTATAATTTAGTAAGTTTTTTATTACTATTATTTTATTTTCTAATTTAGAACGTACTTTATAATTAAGTTTTTAACTTCTATTATTTTCCTATCTCATTTTGAAAGTACTGTGTGTTTTAAGTTCTTATATTCTTAAATTTTTAAGTCTCAAGTGCTTTTTGTCGCAACTGAATTATGGAGAAGAAAATATAATATTCTTATATGTTCAACATTCATCATTAGTACATGGTGAATATCAATATTTACCGGTGTAAATCAGAAATAAGAGTATTTCGAAAATATTTTGGACATATACCAAGCAACTATATGGTTGTTGACATTCACCGGTGAAAGTCGACATTCTCCAGATTTTGTTGTTTCACCATAACATGTGTATTTGATGTATTTTATATTCTGTGATACTATGTACCATAAGAGAAAAATATTTAAAGAATAGATTTTTATGCTATTATACTAGTCAGCGTGAATTGATTACAAATGCTTACTTCTAAAAAAAAAAAAAAAAACAGTTATCTAAATGATAGTATGTTGTTTTACTGTTAATAATTGGTTGTTGTAGTAAAAAATAAAACTTATTGATTTTTGTCTTTGGCTGTTTTCTAGTGAATTTTTCCATAAATAATGGAATGGGGGTAATTAAATCTGGAAAGGAAGAAAATATTGATTTTTAAAATACTTTTGCATATAGAAAGATATATAGCTATATATGTGGGTGTGTATCTTAATGGAATTTTAAATGTGATACCAACATAAGAGTCTAATAAAATATTAAACATATGATCATTCTAATAAAACGTTTCTTTTTATTCTAACATCTTACTCATTTTATTTGTTATTGTTATTGCTTTATACATCGCCAAGTAAATAAAAAATATTAATTTTAAATGTATGTATTTTGTCAATATTTAAAAACTAAATTGTTATAGTTTAATTTTCCATCTCTTCTATTTGCACATTATTGCCTAAGCTATTAAACTGTTCTTTATGTAAACTCTTAATAGCAGAAATCTTCAATATTTTTAATTCCAGACATTAAATTTTTTTGCAGTACAAAAAACTTTAAAAAGTAATCATTTTAATAAATAATTTATACTAATTTGTAATTATTTTTATTTATTCATGGTAGTGCTGAATGTAACTTTAATATAAAGTTATTTAGGATTACTAATTGTTTAACACAGTATTTGAACAGTGAATTTTAAAACTAGTTGTTGTCTAAGAAGTTATCTGTAGGAATACTATATAAAGACTACATGCACTTTTCCTAAATACACAATTGTTTGAACTGCGAGTTATTCATTTCAGTGATTGATTGATAATATAATATGTTTCACGTGTATATATAGTGTAATAAAATAAAGTCTATAGAAATGATTATTGTGTATTTATGAAAAAGTTAAAATGATCAAATTTATAAAAACTTATCTGGGTTTTGATCTGTTTGAAAGATGTATGTTGGCTTTTTATTATGTATTTTGAATACAATGAAAACTGTCATATCTTTTGTTTTGTTAAATTTAAGACCTGTTTTTAAAATAGGTACTAAATTATTTGTCATAACCAAATGTGCAGACTATTCCCTTTTATGTTCTTTTTCTTCTTTAAATAAATATGTTTCAGTTTTAAATGTGTGCTTTTTTCCCAGCATATTTAAAATTAATAATTTTGCATAAATATTCTTTCTTTTGATAGTTGTATAAATAATTTTATTACTTTTTAAAGAAATGATGCATATTTTAAAGCATTACTGGAGAATTCTTAATCACACTGGGATTAACAGTGTTTAAGTTTGTTTGAAAATTATGTGATCTGCATTAAAGAGGTGGGACTTTCATAATCTTTTTAGAAGTAACCAAGATGTAGCTTTTGTATTTAATTTTTTGCTGCAACTAAAATATTTATAGACTTGCAAATTATTTCATATTTTAGTGTACTATTTCGTACATTTTGTGAAAGTGCTTGCATATTGTTGGAAAAACATTTCAGAAAAATTCTAGACCGATTTTTCTTTCATTTTATACAAAATCCTAGATAAACTGCTTAAAATCTGTTTGTTTCAACATTAGTTACCCTTCTTAAAGTAACAATTAACAAGTGCATTTTATAAATAAGCTATAAAATTCTATAAATAGCTATTCAAAAATAATATTATACTTAAAAAAATCATTTCAACATAAAAAACTAAGTGCGTTTCAAGAATAGTAACTAATTGATAATGAATAAATATGTTCAACGTTCAAATTTAAAATCTTGAATTGAGACATGTATCAGAAAAGGCATTGCTACTATATCCTTTTTTATAAAGCATAAGGAAAAGACGATCATGTTAAAGTTGTTTTAAAATAAAAACTTTGCTACCTTTTCATTAAATACATAACTATACTGCATGCCTTTTACAGTTATGTATACAGTATATTGTTTAATAAATATTTAGTGTTGGGGAAAGATTTTAAAAAGATAAAATTATTAAAATTTTGGGGGGAAATAGAGATGATGAACAAACTTGAAATGAACGAATATGAGAATAAATCTAAAATTTATATTCATATGGTCAACATATAGTAAAATAAAATTTCAACTGATTTAAACAATGCTTCACCTTTTAGTACCAGGTTAAAGATAAAATACTTTAAATCTGCTTGTAATATCTTTGTGTGCCCCCCATCTTACATTGTTCCAATAAAAATGTCATTTTTTTTTTTGTTCCAGTAAAATATTCTGACAAACAGACATTAATGGGGAATTTCCTGGAACCATGTGGAAACGTTATTAAAAATTATCATAAGTACATCCTACAGATGTTTTAATATCAAGTCTTTTTTAAATTAGTATGACTCTTATGCAATTCTGATGATGTAAATGGAACTATAAATTTAATGGCCAATAATTATTTTACAGCAGTATTAATTATCCAATCAAAATGCATCGAGTACCAAAACTAACTTAGTTGAATCGAGATTTCTTCCTGAACATAACACACTCGGTTTCAACTCTTTAGCCTAGCTGGACTGTTGTCTGCTACTCTTTTCTTATTACAAATCTATCAAAAATGTAGTCATTTTTAAATAGGCACAAATAATGTGCTAAGTTGTATGTAGTTGCAACATGTTTACTGGAAATAAAATTAGGATTTAATCTGCCTCAGATGATATATATATCCTTTATAAATTATGCTAAAAATGCTGTGGATTTTCACTGGTAATTACGTTTTTTCTTTTGTGAATATTTCATCCAGTTCATATCTTACCTACCAAAATATCTTATTATTATGTTTCATTTTTTAAGCTTTAAAAAGTACTTTTTGAAGAACTGATATGTAGGAGATGTATTATTTTAGCAGTACTTTTTATTAAATTAGCATGCTTAATATTATGATTGTAAAATGTGTTTTTATGATCTACATTGGTTTTTCATTGCAGGTTATCCTTTGGCCCCGAAGAAATCCTTTTTGTGCAGCTATTGTCCAAAATCTTTTATTAGTAAGCATACATTAAAAATGCACACCCGTATTCACACAGGACAAAATCTGCAGTCTTGTTCATACTGTGGGAAATCATTTATCAAAAAGTCTCATTTGATGGATCATCTTTGCTTGCATACAGGTGAAAGAAGATACAAATGTGATACATGTGGAAAGGGGTTTATTCAAAAAACAAAGCTACGTACTCACATTTATTCTGCACACAAAATTAAATTATAGAACTGAAATAATTTTTAATGAAATAAATTGTTTTCATCAAATTTATCTGCTTTCTGTATACCTGAAATTTTTAATTATTCCTTAAGTAATTTTTAGTAGTAGTACTGTAAGATAACATAAGTAAGTAATGTGATCATCCATATAAATTTATAATTGCATATCTGTGCAAGATTTTATTGTTTATAAATGTAATTCTGTAATAGCATTAAGTACCATTTATTTTTCCAAGATCCTGTTTCATGTTTATTTATATAGCATTTATGATTTTTTGACATTTTATGAATTTTTTTCTTTTGGTGGGGGAGCTATTAATTTTGACATTATAATTTTGTCACAATGTCTGGGTTTTTATGCATATTTATCTGCTTGCTGTATATCTGAAATTATTAATTATTTCTTAATTAGTTTTTTATTAGAAGTGCTATGAGATAGCATCAACAAATTATGTGTTCATCCATATTAATTTATAATTGCATGTCAGTGTAAAGTTTGATTGTTTCTGAATGTAGTTCAATAAAATCAAGGGCGGTTTATTTTTCCAAGGTTGTGTCTTTTGTTCAAAGCATGCTAGTGCCTCTTCAAAGCATGCTATAGCATGTTTTGAAGAGATGCTATGAAACAGAATTTTTGAATGAATTATAGTAGCATAAATGGTATGACATATGGATTCAAATATGACCTGAAAAGTAAAATGTATTTTAATAGGCCAATTTCCTACTGATTAAATTATAATGATGAATTTACCCACATATATAGAGTTTTCGATTATGAATCTTGCATTTGACTGGTATCTGCTACACCTAATTTTGATGTAGTCATCAGCATTATAATTAAGCTTACAAGTAGGCAGTGTATTATAATTTTGTTAAAATATTGTGTCATTCTTTAGTCTTGCAAATATGATTAATTAATAACCTATTAGCATTAATAAACATACATGGTATAGTTGTAATAACATGGTCACTTCCTAATGCAGATTTTCATAGATGTGATTCAATTTTATTTGCTGATACAGTCAAAAGTCGTTAATCCGGACTCGTCGGGACTTCGGCGATTCCGGATTATAGCTCATCAGTTTAAATCTGGTAAGATGGTAAGATGGCATGCAGAAATTATAAAATTAAAAATATGAAACCGTAATTTATGAAATAAAGAACAATTATGATGTAAAGGGTATCAAAATTTACAAAAAAAAAAAAAAAAAAAAAAAAGCTTAATATTTATTTGTTTACTTTATTAAACATTTCTTTCAATGTAAGTTGTTTAAGTTGCTTCGTTTCATGTGACAATACTTTCTCTTTAATTCTATAAACACACATAATTTCTTCTTCAGTTACAAAGTTCCACTCTTCAAATCCTGCAATTGCTGTGACGAGAATACCGACTAATTTGTCAATCGAAATTTTTTCATTTTCGATAACCCTCTTCACTATCGGAAACAAATTATAATGACGAGGAATTTGATGTAAATCATATCAAAGACGGAGTACATCGAGATGAAATACTACATTTAGTAAGGAATTATAAGCCAAATAAAATAAAAACATCTGCCCTGAAGATAAGGATAGTGCTGGCAGATAAACTTCCAATTCATTGCGCACCACGGCGTTACCCCCCTTCCCTGCCGCAGAGCAGCGTGAAATTGATAAACAGATTTCGGAATGGTTAGAGAAAAAAGGATATGCCTTTATCCATTTTTTGCAGCAATTCCACTTTTTGTTTAATGGACTTCGGAACATACTTTCGCTTTGTAGATCCTTTACATATTAGTAAATATATATAGGAAATTCTATTTGACATAATCGAAAGTTCAAGCTTACTTTTATAAAATTGCTCTAACAGTCTGCAAAAAATAATTAGCCGGATCCAATTCGAAGATTAAAAAACAACACAATCTGCAACATTAACTGATTTAGTTAATTTTAGCTTAGCTTATACCGTCCGTTATACATCAAACGCGCATGCGTAATATTATGCGCATGCGCACACCCATATTCGCAGCCGTAAAGGTCTTACGTTCATGCATCAACGCGATGCATGGGCAGAAAGTTTGTAGCTTTGGGGTCCGAATTAACGACTTTTGACTGTATATGGAATGCAAACAAGTGCTGTTTTCCTAAGCTTCGGCCCAGTCTTAAATGAGAACAGCCCATAAGCTGGATATCAACATCACTTACTTTTTCCACTATCACTTTTTCTTCTTATGGACTTAAAAACTGACATAATATTGTGTTGCCATTTCACTAAGACAATATACGATAACAGATATTTATGCTTTATGTGGATTCAAATCTGAGCCTAATGGTATACTAACTCAGCCTTCAGTAACTATCATACCAACTAGTTATCCACAAAAATAATTGTTTAAATAAATGCAACAGCAGCAAGAAACTACTTTCAACCAGTAGATCATTTAAAACCATTGTGGAGCAAATGTGTCAAAAAAACATAATGTTTGAATGAGTTTTATAGCTATCTGTAATTCAAATAATTATCACTGCTGGCAGTGTAGCTTCACATTCATACAATACTTTCTTAAGAAGTAGAATTAGCTCTTGAACTTACAATGCACGAATCTTAAGCACTCAAAAATATGAAATATATTTGAGACAGATAAAGGCGTGTGATTTTTCAAAATTTATAACTCAAGGGACAGTTATGATGAGCTCTTGGCTGTAATATATATTGATGAGAAAGCTTCGTATATGAATACTGTGAAATGTAATTGCATCAGATAAATCAGAAAAGTTTTATATTAGAGCATCCTCCTAATTATTTGTCTTAACCAGTTGTTTAAGACTGCGGTAAACTGGTAGTTTGAACTGAGACTGAACTCAGAAAAGCCTGTCTGCATAATTGGTTTTAGGGATTTATGTGTAACAAAAATATGAGCCAGTTTTCCTTAAAGTCCTCCACAAAGGGATATCTTTCTTTAGGCAGATAAATTAGTGTGCTATATCATATTGAAATAACATAAACTTACCTAACTGTTCTTCTGAGAATTAGAAGTTCATTGGGGAGTTAAGGGTAAAAATTTTATATGATAAGATGAATGCCTTTGTATTATCCATCACATGAAGTTATGATTAACTATGCAGTGAATTTCAGAGTGCTAGGATTACGCATCTGAGCCACGACATGACTAAAACATTTGGTTTTGTAGGAAGAGGTAATAGTATGACGAATCAGAAGTATTTGCAGAGACATAATAAATTTTAAATATGTTAAGAAGAGTTGTATACTTCAGTAATTGTAACTATATTCTCGTTCAATAAATTTTGGCCAAACAGTAGATGAGTAATCAAAGCTGAAAGATATCCGTAGCTTAGTCTGGAAGTTGATTTCTAGCAGAAGAGGTTGTTTTTATGGTTTTCCCTGTATGTAATGCATGCATGATTACTCCTGCAGATATGCAGAGAAAATATGCATCATATTTTCTTTGCATATCAATCATATTTTCTTCTATATTTTTCTTCCATATTTTTCTGCATCATATTTTCTTCTGTCATTTTAATAGTTATGAATTACATTTATTCTGTTGCTGTGCATGATGGAAAGGAAAGGAATCTTGAATTTAGAAGACATTTTTTTCCAGTCCTGTTCCCAGCAGATATAAAAATTAGAGGTAGTGCATATTTAAAAAAAATGATTAATTTTAATAATTCTGTGTTTCAAGACACATGTGAATAATTGGGGAGGGGAGGTCAGCTTTTGTACCTGTTGTTCGGGAAAGGCCTTGAGACTTTTTAGCTACAACAGAAACATTATGTTTAGCTCCATCTCAGTTTTGAATCAAAGATGTTCTGTCTTTTTTTTTTTTTTTTTTTTTTTTTTTTTCCCCATATATTTCACATTTTCCAAGACTGTTGTATTAACAGATTTTAACCATTCTACAAAAACACTATACAGTCACAGCCAACCGAGAGTCGAACTAGAACCCATCTGTGTGACATTTGCTAATGATGCCCATCTGGGGTGGGTACGATCATTAATGCTTAATGATATCAAAATAATATCTGTTTGACAAGATTTACTTGATCGGCAAATCCACATTAATAAAAATGTGTTTGGGATTCTTAATTTAAGATTCCCTCTCTTTTTTTAGAGGATATAATTTACTGCTAAATAGTCTGCTTTTCTCTTTAAATATAGTGACATTTTAATTTCCTGAGTGTCATCTAAAATTAGTTACATCTCCTGGTTGAAAATAAGCAAGTTAACAACACAATTGTTGTAGTGTATAATTTTCCTCACTCTTAAATAAAAATAAATCAAGTGAAGGTGGTGAACAACCTGCCTTTTAATTACCTTAAGAAGAACACCAGCAACAATAACAAAATGACCTAGTAAAAGTTAAACCAATTTGCGTTGTGTAATCAAAATATGCTACAACCCTGGTTAAGAAAGTGTATGAAGTAAGCATTACAATTATCACAACAAAATAGTAGGTAAGCTGATTTATTTAATATACAATTCAATGCAATTAGACAAGGATATTCATCCGGAGGACCAGCAATTAGAAATCAATTTAAAATTTAACTTGACAATAATGATAAAATCATTAAGCAAACACTTAATATGATTTCGCAGCAAAATAATAAAATTATTGGTGGTTGACCAAGAAATAGGTGTCGGCACTGGTTGCAAATGTCCCCATCTCTAAAGGAAAGTTTAAGTAATGTTACCTCCTGATCTGTAGACATCTTCTGGTACAGTCCTTCTCGAAGCAGGAGGCTCAGATCAGCTGCATTCGGCGACAGGTATCTCGCTGACCATCTAAGCCGACAATCTGTAGCGCGGCCGTTGCTCTAGAGGGAACTGTCTGAATATTTTGGGCTCCATTCATCCTCTCTAGGCCTACTCCATTGGGTGACATGTCAGCGAACTTCACTGGACTTCACGCAGAAAGTTTTCTATAGGTGACAGATGATTTGAGGCAATAGGCTTCATCCTGGCAATCTGAAGAGGTCGAAACTTGATGAACTCCCTAAGCTGAA